TGTAACGCTTTGGCATCCAGACCTACCAGTTGCTGTGGGGGCCATGTAATATTATGTGCAGAGTAATGTCCAAAAAACCACAATCTCTGACTCAAGCTGCTCAAAATGTAGTTTAAATAGGCCACTTCGTGTTCAGGAGAGGGCAGAGAGGGAAGAAGGCAGAGCTGGCGTCAGGCTTGGTTGTGGTCAGTTCTGCTGTTCTGCAGCAGCTGCAATGATCAGTTTTCCCAGTCACTGTGAATCACATCCAGCCCTTCTCCAGTGCTTTCTGTAATACTCTAGGCCCTGTAGCAGTTTGAGAATACTCTGGAACAAGGAGGATACCAGTCCTGCTGGTTTGCTCATATTTCTTCTGTGGGTGCTGGTTACTGTGAAGACAGCTGATTTTAATAGGAACTCTTTCTTCCTTAAGAAATGCATCTAGATGCAGAGAGTTTGAGGCTTGATGACAGTACAGATACTATTGAAGATGACCCCTTTACAGCAAAACTGAGCTTTGAGGTAAGAGCTTTACCTGTGTCTTACAGCTGGTTGTTTCCTGCTACTAACAGAAATGAATAAAAAAATTTAGCGTATAGTCCCTGCCATTCTTCTGGTGTGAATGTGCTAGAGAGAGACACAAAGCAGGGATGGGAAGAGAGGGAAAGGGGTTTACCAATTAACTGCTCTCATAAGTAAACAAAACCAACAAAGATATTAAAGTAAACATTCTTGGAACTTGGTTTTATCACCATACAGTGATACAGTGGGGCTGTCCCCAGGGTATTCCGTGTCTCTGCAGTGTACCTGTAAATCAGTCCTTGCTGTGAGGTTTTAATAAAGGCTGTGGGCATGGGTGTTATTTACAAGGAGTTGTGTTAAAATGAACCATGGGAGCTCACTGTGGGTGGATGCTGCTGTCGCTGAAGGTATTGATAACGCAGTGAGTCTGGTGGGACTAGACCCAGGCCAATTCTATATTACCTTTTTCTACTGAATTTTACTTTGCTGCTTGCAGCAGCTTATTAATCCTCAAAGGGCTTTGCAGTTGGTAACAGTAATTCTTCTGAACCTGCTTTCCTGCAGCAAGGCAGCTCGGAATTCGTTCCCGTGGTGGTGAATCGTGCTGTTCTCCAGTCCATGAGCCGCAGGGACGTTCTCATTAAACGCTGGCCAAAGCCACTGCAGTGGCAGTACTACCGCTCCCTGCTGCCAGATGCCTCCATCACCATGTGTCCATCGTGCTTTCAGGTACAGTTTCATGGAAAGGTTTAAAAAAAACCCCAAACCCTATGGCTGAAACAGTTCTAACCATTGAAACCTCATGCTTTAAAATGTATTCAACAAGTTCCTGAATGATGTAGACAAAGAAGGCAATGAAAACCAAAAGTCAAGCTGTGTGATGCACAGAGGAGCAGCTGAAAACTTTGAGGTAGCTGAATTTGAGAAGTTGCACTGACAGCAAGTCAGAGCCTCTCGAGCAAACCTTGGCTGAACAACAAACGCTGATTTGTAGTTCTTTCTTTGCTCTGTCTGTCTGACTTTAAGCCTGCTTTAGCAAGGAAAATCAGTCAGTAACTAAGTTAGCTTGTGGTTTAATCCCTCTCCTTGCCCTCTCAGGAATGGCTTTTTGCAACACTGGAATTCAGTCACGTTTGCTGACTAGAAACTGTCTAATTGGTTTGTGCTCTTGAGCAACACTGGCAGTGCCCTGTGAAGTGCCTGCTGCTCTGTTCCAGTCACAGCACACTCAAGCAGTTGGAAGCAAGAGGACCAATTCTCTTGTAGGGTAGCTTCAGAATGTTGGTGCCATAAAGAAGCCACTGAACTTGGTTTGAATTTTCTTTGAGCAAGTCCCAGGCTAACTTGTCCCTAAATCTGCTCCTCGTTAACAGATGTTTCACACAGAAGACTATGAGCTTCTTGTACTCCAGCATAATGGTTGTCCTTTCTGTCGACGGAGAATAGATGAGTCAAACCAATGAAGAAAACCAATCTCATACCTCAACTGACAGACTCCCCTCTTGGTTTAGCAAAACACTTCTTAGACTCACAGAGTTTTCCTAACAACTTAGCTAAGTCATGTTGTTCCATTTTGTACATGAGAGTGGAACTGAGTTGAAGAAATGTTACTATTTGTTTAAATGAAGATGTCTGTTGTTTGTGAACGTCCTCTCCCTTTCCCAGGCAAGCAGCTGAAGCGCCACACAATTTTACCAGAATGTTTCTAGGGTCAGTCTTGAAGTAACTGTTATTTTTATTCCAACTTGTGTTAGGACTTGATTCGCTCCTTACTCCGTACCTGTTACTGACAGATCTCTGAATAAATAGGACTCTTTTTCACTACTCTTGGTCTGGGAATGTGCTGTAACACTGTGGCTTCTCAGTGTGAATAGGGTTTTTAATTTCTATTCTGTTTAGGCAAGGACAGTCATAGAGCTTAGAGCTCTTAAACCATGATCTTAAGAGCTACACTGACTTGGCACTGAGAACCCTCTTGCAGCCCCACTGAGGATTTAATGCTGCAGCCGCTTGACCAAGTGTGGTGGGTTGGTCCTGGGCAGCAGCTCAGCCTCATGCAGCAGTTTGCTCGGTCCTCCCCCACCTTCCTTCAGGACTAGGGGGAAAATCACAACAGCAAAAGCAAAGAAACTCATGGATTGAGATAAAGACAGTTTAGGTGAAGCAAAGCTGTTGCATGCAAGCAAAGCAGTAAGGAATTTATTGACTCCTTCCCCGTGGCAGGCAGATCTCCAGCCTCCTTCCTGGAGAGCAGGGCCTCAGTGTGAGTAAGAGTTACTTGGGAAGGCAAACACCACAAACACAACATCCTCCTTCCTCCTCCTTTCCCTGAACTTTTATTTATGAGCACATCATCATCTGGTGTGGAATGCCCCTTGCCCAGCTGTCCCAGCTCTATCCCCTTCCCACTTCTTGCCCATCTCTGCCCTGTTGCTGGGGGCGCAGAGTGGGGAAGAAGACAAGCTCTGGGCTCAGCTGTAGGTACAGCACTGGTGTATGTCAGCACTGGCTCAGACACAAACCGGAGGGGTCGAGGCTCCCTGGGATGGTCACTGAGCAGTTCTGCAGCAGGAACTGCCTGGGCCGGATGGGAACAGGGGAGTGACAGGTCTCTTGACTTTAATCCAGTATATATTGTGCCCACGTCACCAAGACTTGTGGTGTTGTTACAAGATCCTGTCTGTTGCAGCTTCCCTTTGTCTGGAGTGGGAACTGATCCTGCCTCGCTGTTTGGAGCTGCTGGGGTGCTGGTGAAGCAGCTATGCAGAGACAGCACTCTGCATGTAAGACTAGTGGTGTTGTCTGTGGCTGCTTGCGTTCCTCCTGAATGTGCCACCCTGCCATGGCACTGCAGGACTCCCAGTCCCGTAGGGGTTCCTGACCAAGTTTGCTTAATTTACCACTTCAAAACCACTGTGTTCTAATTGGGGCTCACCTGCTTTTTGACTCATCTGTCACTGTTTGCAGTGAAGACTTTGCTATTGCCATAGATAAACAATGCTGTTGGAAACAGGAGCCGGAGTGGAATTTGCTCATTCCCCAGCACTGAGCAGGCTTTGCCCCGTAGTGGGAAGGAAGAATTATACAAATAAATAGAGAGATTTTGTTGTGACACCGAGACAAAGTAGATGGAGCGAGGAAGCTTCTTTCTGTTCTTTAAACAACTCTGTGAGTATGGTCCAGGTCTGAAAAGTGTATTGGGCTTTTCCACACAAAGCCACACTTGATACTCTCATGTTGTAAAGCCTGTATCTCCAGGCTGCCCTGGGGCCACTCAGACTCTCAGATGCCCTATGATAAGGACTCCCTGGATGTACAAGAAGTCCCACCAGGACCATTGCTCTTCACTGTCCCTCTGCTCCGGCAGTGACGCATGGCACTAAGCACCCAGCAGCAGCTGCTGACCTCAGCAGTGGCTTATTGCATCAGAGCTTAAGGTGGCACATTTGTGCACTGGGAAGATAAATCTTTAATCCTTCTTGTACGCCCAGGTAGGGTGCAGACAGCTGCACTTGCAGTTCCATGGTGGCACTCTCTGGCCTTGGCAGCAAGTGTGAACAGTTAACTGAGAGGGACTTAGGATGAGCAGGGGGTGCTTTCATGTAATGTGAAGGAAGACCTTTGGGACTACCCAGAGTGATCGTGGCCTGCCTTGGCTGTAGCCAGCCAGGTCTTCTTTTGTCCATGGGGCCAGCACTTCAGCTCCTTCAGACCTTCCCCAGTTGGAGTGAAGGTTTCCAGCTTGGTTTCTTCCTTAAAGAGAGCACAGTGCTTTGTGCTTTGTTCCTTTAAACCTTCTGCATGTGCAAACCTAACCCACAGGGAACGTGGTAAAACTAGGCCAGGACTGAAGGAAATCTGTTTAGGCCAAGAGGGCACAAGCTTCTGCCCATCTTATGCCCCTGAGCTCCAGCAGCTCTGGCACATCCTCCCATGCATGGATGCAGCACTCGCTTGCTAATGCCTCTGCCCAGCCATAGCTGCAGCCAAAACAGCCAGAGGAGGTGGGGACCTGGGACCCCCGGTCCTTGCCCAGACACCACTGGGCACTGGCTGGTGCGTGCCCACCAGCTGGAATGGCATTGACTGCCAACGAGAAAGGTGGGGAAAAAGAGAAGAGATGGGGAAAATGGCTTTGGAGCTTAAAAGATTAATTGTGATGGTGTGAACCATAAGGAACCACCTTCTCCAGAAAAGACAGCCTCTGGTCAGCTTTGTTGTGTTCCCTGCTGTACGTGTCCCACTGCCTCTGAAAAACAAAGAGAAGATAATGTCTGACTCAGTTGCTGGTTGGCACAAAGAACATGTCAAGCACAATCGAGTGCATTGAGTTGGGGAGGCAGAGACATGGAGGACAGGGGATGCTCCCATGATGCCTTCCCCTGTGGAATTTGGTGATCCTCCAAGGTTCTGGAGAGACCGAAGGTGTTTGTTAACCAGCGAATGAAGTTGAGTGTGGCTTAAGCTCAGAACCTCCCTTCAGTGCCCTTGTCCAGCAGCTGCCTCAGCACCAGTGCAGAATGATGCCTGTCCAGGACAGATGGGCTAGGTTACATATTAGTTGTTACCAATGTAAGTGGCATTACCCAAACCACATACAAAGCCAGGCTCAGAGGGTTGGTACCACTGGAAACCTGCCAGCGTGGTCATTGCTTCACTCTGGTGTTCCAACCTCCCTAGCCAAACCCTGTAGCAGAAAAAGGTGGCTGCAAGCACATGGAAGAGGGGTTGGTGATGCTTGTGCTGCCTGAGAGCTGCCTTCTGCAACCTCCTGCAGGGAATGGCAGTTCTGGTGGGGATGGTTTCCTGTGGGGACTCTGGAGAGTCACTGACCCACTTTCCCCTTTTAAGAAGGGGCCTGGGGCACCCCTCTATCACTGATGGAGCCCACCACACCAACCTGCCCTGCCCAGCCACCATCTGCAACCCCCAAACCCACAGTTACGGAGTTTTGAACCTCAAACTTCCCTCCTGTTAGTGGGAGATGGAAAGGAGCTTCTGCTTGTTGGAGAGATATGAAAGTTCAGCCCAGGAGCCAAGAAAAGGATCCTCATGTGCCAGGGGTTGTCATCCCCTTGCAACCTGATGGTGATGCATCCCATTCCCAGCACCTGTGGGGAAACTGAGGCATTTCATATGGATGGGCAGTGCACATGAGTGCTGACGGAGGGTGGGCTGAAGGCCCTGGGGGTAAGGGTGGCAAGTGCCCCCCCAGGCAATGACAGCATGAGCTGTGGATGTCCAGCTCTGGATCATGGGGTGCAAGGACTCCCATGGGTGCTGAGCCCACCCCAAACCCTTGCTGCCGGGGGAGCACAGCCATGCTGAGGAGCGAGGCTTTGTGAGTGGAGCTGCTGCCCGGTTTGGGGCCCCCCCAAATGAAAGCTGTGGTGCAGAGCTACCTCTGTACATGACTATGAACCATGGTCCCCAGCAATGACAGCACAGGCCAGAGACAGGTGTCACCTTAATACCCTCCCAGAAAAGCCAATTACCCCGGATGATTATGATTAATAATTCTTAAGCCCTAATCGCGCTGACTCTGGCGCCCAGAGCTTACCCCGGGGGGCACTTTATAAGAGGTGCCACAGGAGTGAGCGCCGCCGCTTCTCCCTGGGGTGACGGTGAAGGCTGAGAGGTGGCGGGAGCCCCACTCGAGAGGTGAACCCCCCGCGCACCACAGAACCCCCGAGTAAGAGCACGAAGCACCTCCCGAACTGCAGCCATGAACGGGACAGAAGGCCAAGACTTCTACGTGCCCATGTCCAACAAGACTGGGGTGGTGCGGAGCCCCTTCGAATACCCCCAGTACTACCTAGCTGAGCCCTGGAAGTTCTCAGCACTGGCTGCCTACATGTTCATGCTGATCCTGCTTGGCTTCCCCATCAACTTCCTCACACTGTACGTCACCATACAGCACAAGAAGCTCCGGACACCTCTAAACTACATCCTTCTGAACCTGGCAGTCGCTGACCTCTTCATGGTCTTTGGTGGCTTCACGACCACCATGTACACTTCAATGAACGGGTACTTTGTCTTTGGAGTAACAGGGTGCTACATCGAAGGCTTCTTTGCCACGCTGGGTGGTAAGTTTTCCAGATACTAAAAAATCTGCAAGAAATGGCCCCAGATTTTAGGAGGGGGAGGGAAGACACCCAGATGATCTTGGGAACACAGGATTCAGGGTGGGAGGTGAAGAAAGTGACAAATGGCACTTCTTTTTTACCATATTTTGGTAGCCAGCTGCTCAGTATCCAGAGAACAACAGCGCAGCAACGAAAAGCAACCAACCCGCAGCAGATTTTGCAGTTGCTGGATTTGCACATCTCTCTGGCTTGCTTTCTGACTTGAGAGGTGACAGATTTGTTCTTCCTATTTTGTGCAGCCGAGTCTGCCATGGGCTCCGATGCCATGTGTGGTGGTGCAGGCTGGCAAAGCTGCCTCTCCCCCCGTGCCAGCCAGGCTTGGACCAAAGCAGCTGTTAAATAAAAACTGTGTCTAAAAATATTCTCCTCCACTCAGCTCTGGCATCAGCCATAAGCTTAAGTGTTTCTGGTTTGGTTCTTGTGGCACAAGTTTCCTGGCAAGCTGTGGGTAGCGAGGGAAAATCCTGGGATGATGGGCACTTGCTGTATGTCAGAGTGGGACCGTAGGCTTGCAAGTGCTGTCTGGGATGCGTGTTAGCGTCCAGCCATGGAATGCAAAACACCACGGTGAAGTGATTACTGTGGTTAAGCAGTGCAGTGAGGAGGGGTCTTCTCATGCCTTCCTACTGCATCTGCACTTTGCCTTGGTTGATTCCTCTTTCCCAGCCATTGGTGCAGATTTACCTGCTGCCAGGGGTGTTCCTTGGGAACAACAGCATGAGGGGGCCTCGTGCTGCCATCAGTGTGTTTCTGCTGCTGCTCAAAGCCCCCATGTCCCTGTCCCTCTCTCCCTGGCACAGGTGAAATTGCTCTGTGGTCGCTGGTTGTCCTGGCTATCGAAAGATACGTGGTGGTCTGCAAGCCCATGAGCAACTTCCGCTTTGGAGAGAACCACGCCATCATGGGTGTTGCCTTCTCCTGGATCATGGCGCTGGCGTGCGCGGCTCCCCCGCTGTTCGGCTGGTCCAGGTACGGGCAGCAGTGCCGGGGCCGCAGGA